ATGCAGCTTGTGGGATGACCTGGGATTGAACCCCTGCCACCTGCAGTGGAAGTGGATTCCTAACCACGGGGCCACCAGGGAATTCATTCCATTTTCTAAAGGCTGAATATTCTCTGATTAGGATCCTCCTCTAGATGAACAGAACAGGTGTCTGTTCTCTGACAAGGGCAGAGGAACTCTTGTCCTTGGAATGGAAGAGAATAGAGAAACCTGTTCAAAGGACCTGCTAATCTCTGGTCACCCTGAGGAAGTATCTGTGGTCCTCAGCTGCACAGGAGTCACTTCCTCCCCCAACTTTTCTCCAGAGTTGTATTCTCAGGTTTCCCTGGGGACTGATCTCCAGAAGCTGTGGGGAAACACTCTCTCACTAGTTATTGTCACACATCCATGAAACTCCCCATTTAGGAGTCAATAGCTCAGGTTGGGCAATGAACAATTAACCACAAATGGGGTGGTCGGAGACTTCCCTCAAAACTGAGGAATTTCAAAATTGTCTATGTTTGTTGATCCAGGACAGTTGTGCTTTATAACAAGTGTTGATGAGGACATGGAGAAATTGGAAGCTTCGTGCATTGTTGGCAGGAACGTAAAATGTTATAGCCTCTGTGGAAAACATTATGGCAGTTCCTCAAAAAATTAAAACTGAAATTACCATATGATCCAGCAAACTCACTTCTGGAAGTATGTATGTATCTGGAAGAATTGAAAGCAAGGTCTCAAAGAGATATTCTCACACACACGTTTACAGTGGCATTATTCACAATAGGTAAAATGTGTAAGCAAGCCAAGTGTCAGCTAATTAATGAATGGATAAACAAAGTGCTATATACATACAATGGAGGATTATTCAGCCTTAAAGAGGAAGAAATCCTGATACATGCTACAACATGGATGAATTTTGAGTATATCATGCTATGTGAAATAAGCCAGTCACAAAAAGACAAATGCTGTATGTATGATTTCACCTACATGAGGTATCTAAATTAGTTAAATTAATAAAGATGGAAAGTTGAATGGTGGTTGCCAGGGGGAGGGGAATGCGGGGAGTTGTTGTTTAATGGGCATAAAGTTTCAGTTTTGCAAGATGGAAAAGTTCTGGTGATTGGTTGCAAAACAATGTGAATACACTTAACATTACTGAAGTGTACGCTAACAAATGGTTAAGATGATAAATTTTAAGTTATGTGTTTTTACAATTAAAAAACATAAAACACCAAATGAACAGGTCAAAAAGCAAATTAGATATAACTGAAGAGGGAATTAATAAACTAGAAGATATAGCTGCAGAAATTATAAAGAATGCAAAACAGAGAAACAAAGAGATGTTAGGAAACATGAATGATGCAATGAGAGGTCTAACACACAGACAACTGGGCTCCAGAAGAAAAGAATATAGAAAACAGAAAAGAGATATTATTCAAACACAAAATGCCTGAGAAATTTTCCAGAATTGGTGAAAAATATGAACTCTCTGGTTTGGAAATCAGAATGAATCTCAAGAATAAAAATAAATAAAAATAAATCCAAACGTATAGACTTTTTTTTTTTGCTGTGCTGCATGGCTTGTAGGATCTTAGTTCCCCAACCAGGGGTTGAACTCGGGCCACTGCAGTGAAAGCTCCAAGTCCTAACCACTGGACCACCAGGGAATTCCCCAAACCTACAGTCTTTATAGGGAAACTGCAGAAGATTGAAGACAGGGAGGCTATATTAATAGCATCTTGAGAGCAACACAGATGCATGATCAACTACTGAAGGCTGTAGGTAAATGGGTAAGTAGGCAATGGTACATCACACAATGTGTACATTGTACATTAATACATGGAATAGTCAGTGCTAAAAGAAATAAGCTATCAAGTTGTAAAAAGATATGGAGGAAACTTAAATGCATATTACTAAGTGAAAAAAGCCAATCGGAAAAGGCTACATACTGTATGATTCCAAGTATATGACATTCCAGAAGAATGCAAAAAAGTTTTGCAAAAACATTGAGATGGTAAAGAGATGAGTGGTTGGCAGGGGTTATTGGGGAGGGAGGGATGAATAGGTGAAGCACAGGATTTTTAGGGCAGTGAAACTATTCTGTATGATAATATAATGGTGGATACATAGCATTATACATTTGTCCAAACTCATAGAATGTACAACACCAAGAGTGAAACCTGATGTAAACTATAAACTTGGAATGATAATGATGTGTTAATGGAAGTTCATCGATTGTAACAAATGTACCTACCACTCTGGTGACTGATGTTGATAGTAAAGACAGTCTGTGTGTGTGTAGAAGTCTGGGGTAAATAGGAACTCCTTGTACTTTCCACTCAATTTTGCTGCGAGTCTAAAACTCTGAAAAATAAAGTCTATTAAAAAAATCCAAGAGGGCTTCCCTGGTGGCGCAGTGGTTGAGAATCTGCCTGCCAATGAAGGGGACACAGGTTCGAGACCTGGTCTGGGAAGATCCCACATGCCATGGGGCAACTGGGCCCATGAGCCACAACTACTGAGCCTGCGCATCTGGAGCCTGTGCTCCTCAACAAGAGAGGCCGCGACAGTGAGAGGCCCGTGCACCGCAATGAAGAGTGGCCCCCGCTTGCCACAACTAGAGAAAGCCCTCGCACAGAAACGAAGACCCAACACAGCCAAAAATAAATAAATAAAAATAAATTAAAAAAAAAAATCCAAGAGGATGAAAGAACACCCAAGCATCCAGAAAGAAAAACAAATAACCAACAATAAAAGGACAATTACGCTGACAGCAAATATCTTAAAACAAAACAATAATTTAAAAAAATTTTTAACAAACAGACTTGTGGTTGCCAAGGGGGAGGGGGAGTTGAGGAAAGGTTGGATTGGGAGTTTAGGATTAGAAGATGCAAACTATTATACATAGAATAAACAAAATGGCCCTATTGTATAGCACTGGGAACTATATTCAATATCTTATGATAAACCATAATGGAAAAGAATATGTAAAAGAATGTATATATATGTATAACTAAATCACTTTGCTGTACAGCAGAAATTAACACAACATTGTCAATCAACTATACTTCAATAAAATACATTTTAAAAAAAAGAAGCAAATCCAAATAAATTCGAGAAGCTGCAAAAAAAAATTTTTTTTTTAAATACACATAACAGGGACTTCCCTGGAGACACATTGGTTAAGAGTCCACTTGCCAACTCGGGGGATACGGGTTCGATCCCCGGGCCGGGAGGCTCCCACATGCAGCAAAGCAGCTGGGCCTGTGTGCCACAACTACTGAGCCTGTGCTCTGGAGCCCGTGAGCCACAACTACTGGCCCCGTGTGCTTGGAGCCTGTGCCCTGCAACAGGAGAGACCACTGCAGTGAGGAGCCCGGGCAACGCGATGAAGAGTAGCCTCCGCTCGCTGCAACTAGAGAAAGCCCGTGCGCAGCAAAGAAGACCTAATCCAGACAAAAATTAAAAATTAGGGCTTCCCTGGTGGCGCAGTGGTTGAGAGTCCGCTTGCCGATGTAGGGGACGCGGGTTCGTGCCCCGGTCCGGGAAGATCCCACATGCCGTGGAGCGGCTGGACCCGTGAGCCATGGCCACTGAGCCTGCGCGTCTGGAGCCTGTACTCCACAACGGGAGAGGCCACAACAGTGAGAGGCTCGCGTACCACAAAAAAAACAAACAAACAAAATTTAAATAAAATAAAATACACATAACAAGAATTTAAGGTTGGTTATTGCTAGGTATGGTCATGCCCTATTTCCTACTCCCTTACCCCTACCCTCTGTTTGTCCTCATTAATGTGGATGGTAGCTTTTATTTTCTAAGTAGGAGAAGGGATAGGCCAACGTGAAGGAAGAGAGGAGAAAGTTTATTGAGGGAGGAAAGGGTGTTTGGTTTTAAATAGTGATATTGACCTTGGGAGAGAAGAGATCTAGAAAAGCCATTGGTCCATTTCCATTTTAGGGGGGTAAGATTATTCCTACATCAGTCTCTATGGGCAGGGGACCACTGCAGACACTTTCAGTGATGATGCCCATTGTATAGGAGCTTAGAACTCTAGATACATGATCTCATTAAGTCTCTGAGAGAAGTTGCTCACCAACTCTGTTAGACAATGCCAACCACAACATTTCTAGATATCTTGGTTGGTGTTATGCTTCCTGCTATTTGTTGGTTGAAATTCTGCAGTTTCCCTCTGATTCCAGCACTTCTTTTTGCTTATGAGCAGAGTAAGGCAGGATAAGGTTTTGAAAATTTTTATCTCCAGCCTGAACCTTTCTCAGGAACTCCAGGCTGCTAACTGAATATTGCCACTGGAATGTCTAGATAAGCATCTCAAATTTAATATGTCCAAAAATCAAGCTCTTGATTTAGTCCTTTCAACTTGCTTGTCTTGCTCTTTTTCCTCTCTCAGAAAATGGCAACTCCACCCTTTGAGATGCTTAGGCCCAAAACCTGGAAGCATCTTTCTCTTCTTTTGTCTCTCGTACCTCATGTCCAATCCATCAGGGAATCCTGTTGGCTCTATCTTTCAAAATATATCCAGAATCCAACCACCTCTCATCACCTCCACTACTACCGTACTGGTCCAAGTCTCCATCATCTCTTACTTGGATTACTGCAATAACCTCCTTAACAGTCACCCATGGTAGGACCTCAATAAATAATTGTTGAATGAATAAATGAAGCAATTCTCAGGTATGAGTTATCTTTGGCTGTTTGATGGGTCATGGTTAATCTTGAGACTCTTTACCATATTTTGGAGAGAGAGTGGGAAGAAGTAGTATTTGGGCAGCAAGTACTGTGGTGTGGGCCCATGGAGGAAACAATGGGGTGGAAAGTTGAAGCAAACTTGAAAAATACAGGAGAGAGGAATCGGTAGAATTGGGACTCTGAGTGGGAATCAGCAAAGACAATCCAGGTCACTGAGTGTCCTTGTCCCTGCTGTTGTGATTGCCTATCCTTTGCCTGTATAGAGAGCCTGGATGGATACCCTGCTTCCCTCTGTTGACCCATCCAACCTGGGGTCCTGTGAGGTGATTTCCATGAAGCCTGGAGGTGAATGACCCTCACCGAAGACCAGGTGAAGAGCAGTTTCCTTCTGAGCTTCAGAGATGCCTCCAATGAGGGAGGGAATTGAGTGGATCAGGCAAGCTCCTGGAACTTGGGCTGAAGAGGAAAGTAAAGGCAGGCATCTAGGTGTGGCTTGGCCTGAGGTTGCTTCCTCTGCTGCTGGGCAGCCCCATGTCCCCTTCTCCTCCCTCTCCCCATAGGAGGCCCAGCAGCTGCTTCCAACAGCCTGGGTCTTCTGCCTATATTAAGAGCCCTTCCAGAAGTTCATCCTTCTTTCCCCTGACTCTTCTTAGCCATTCTTCCAGTAGGCACCTAAGGCCTGGTCCCCTTCTCTTGGTCCCTCAGGGACTCTTCTCCAGACCAGCTAATGGAATCCGGTTTGGAGAAAGTGCTTGGCTGGGTCCCCTACATGTTGAGTTCAATTTCCTCCTCTGGGTGTGTTTTAGCTTCCAACTGGGATCTTTGCCATAGTAATTATAATAACCACACTCCACATGGAGGATCTTAAAGCTATATAGGCAAACAAACAGAAAGGAGTTCTTAAGGAAAGTCAAGTAGTTATCAGAATCTCCAACCCCACCAGACCCGGAAGCTCTATACTCGCCTCCCCATAACTTAGTGAACATTGTTTAAGCAGCTTGAAATTCTTTCTACAACCACATTGAAATGGGATATCCTGAGGGAAAGGGAAGTTTCCCCACCCCAACCCTGCTCCTCCCCAAGCCCTCCCCTTCCAGCCAGTAGCAGTGTTATTCACCTGACTGCTTGGGAGAAAAACCTAGAAGTTCACCTTCATTTTTCCTTACCCCTCACCTCTCATCCTGTGTATCAACAAGGCATACTGTATATGCAACTAGAGATGATCATACTAAGTGAAGTAAGTCAGAAAGAGAAAGACAAATATCATATGACATCACTTATATGTGGAATCTAAAATATGACACAAATGAACCTGTCTATGAAACAGAAACAGAATCACGGACCTAGAGAACAGACTGGTGGTTGCCAAGGGGGAGGGGGTTGGGGGAGGGATGGAGTGGGAGGTTGGGGTTAGCAGAGGTGGGCTGTTATATACAGAATGGATGAGCAACAAGGTCCTTTTATAGCACAGAGAACTATATTCAATATCCTATGATAAACCATAATGGAAAAGAATGTTTTAAAAAAGAAGGTATAGGGACTTCCCTGGTGGCGCAGTGGTTAAGAATCTGCCTGCTGGATGTGGGCCCAGTGCGACCGCATTGTCTGATTTTTCAAGAGAGGCCAGAAAGTGGGTTTTCATATAAAATCTCCTGAACCTGAAGTGTTGACAACTAATTCAACTGAAAAATAATTATAACTGGGGGTACTTCTGGACTGCTGGCCATGTTCTTGCCTTGACCTGGGTGATAGTGGCAAGGATGTTTATTTTATACCTAGTTGTTAAGTTGAACATGTAGGTTTTAAATAATTATCTGTGTGTATGATATGTTTCATAATAAAAAAAAATGTTTTTAAAAGGAAAAAAAAAAAAAGAATCTGCCTGCCAATGCAGGGACATGGGTTTGATCCCCGGTTCGGGAAGATCCCACATGCCACAGAGCAGCTAAGCCCGTGCACCACAACTACTGAGCCTGCGCTCTAGAGCTCGTGAGCCACAACTACTGAGCCCATGCACCACAACTACTGAAGCCCGTGTGCCTAGAGCCCATACTCCACAACAAAGACAAGCTACCGCAATGAGAAGCCCACGCACCGCAATAAGGAGTAGCCCCCACTCACTGCAACTAGAGAAAGCCCATGCGCAGCAACGAAGACCCAACGCAGCCAAAAATAAATAAATTAATTAATAAATAAATTAGTTAATCAAAAATTTAAAACTAAAAAAATAGAAGGTATATGTGTGTGTGTGTGTATATAACTGAATCACTTTGCTGTATAGCAGATATTAACACTACTTTGTAAAACAACTATACTTAAAAAAAAAATTCAGGGCTTCCCTGGTGGCGCAGTGGTTGAGAGTCCGCCTGCCGATGCAGGGGAAACGGGTTCGTGCCCCGGTCCGGGAAGATCCCACATGCCGCGGAGCGGCTAGGCCGGTGAGCCATGGCCGCTGAGCCTGCGCGTCCAGAGCCTGTGCTCCGCAGCGGGAGAGGCCACAACAGTGAGAGACCCATGTACTGCAAAAAAAAAAAAAAAAAAAAAAAAAAATCATTAAAAACAAAAGAACAAACACAACAAAACAAAACAAAACAAAAAAAGAACAAGGCCTGCTGTGTCTACAGAATATGCCCAGAATCTATTTTCTTCTCTTCACCGCTTAGTGACCGTTGTGTTTGTGTTGAACAACTGCAGTGATGTGCTAACTGGTTTTCCTGCTTCTACTCTTGTCCTGCTGTAGATCACTCCCCCCAGAGCAGCCAGAGCCATCTTTCAGGGACAAGCCCATCCCACTATTATTCTGCTCATAACCCTCCAAAGGCTCCCACAGAACTTCTGATACATTTCAAACTTCTTACCACAGTGCGCGAGGCTCTGCATGATACGGCTCCGGCCTTCCTCTCCAGCCACACGTCTTATTACTCTCCCCCTCAGCCACATGGCCTTACCTGCTCCTTCAGTGTGCTGAGTTTGTTCCTGCCTTAGAGCCATGGGATTTGTTGTTAGCAATGCTTAAAATGCTTTGTGAAGATTTCTTCATGGCTGGCTCCTTAGTATTTAGAACTTAACTCAGTACTATCGCTCCCTAATGAAACACCCCCAAACTCAGTGGCTTCAGAACAGCAGTTATCTATTTCGCTTATTATCTATCTGTAATATGGGTAGGGCTTGATGAGGAAGATGCATTTTTGTTCCACATGGCGACAGCTGGGGCAAATCAACCGAGATCCGAGGATCTGCTTCAGAGATGGCTCACTTTCATGGTTGGCACGCTGGGGCTGGCAGTCGTCTGTTAGTTAAACCAGGGTTGAAGGCGAGGGACCTTGGTTGTTCAAGGGGTCCCAAGAGAGTCAGGTGGAAGCTGTGATGTCTTTTATGACCCAGCCTAAGAAGTCACGTAGCATCACTTCTATTGTACTTTATTAATTTTGCAAGTCGAAACACCTGTCCAGGGACTTCCCTGGCGGTCCAGCAGTTAAGACTCCGGGCTTCCACTGCAGGGAGCGCAGGTTCCATCCCTGGTCAGGGAACTAAGATCCCACACGCTGCACGGCCAAAAAGTAAATAAATAAATAAATATTAAAACAAACAAACAAACAAAAAGAAACACCTGTGCAAGTTCAAGTGGAGGAAACACAGGCTCTACCACTTGAAGGGGGAGCGGCAGGGTTCTGCAACAGCACACAGAAATAGGAATACTGCTTTTCCGGATGACTCTCTCTGCCACGGCTACCTCCTCAGTGCAGCCTTCCCTGACAGCCCGATATAAATTCGCTTCTCCTCCTCACCCCGCAGAGTCATTCTTTACCATTTCAGTCTCTGGCTTATTCACAGCAAGTTGTCTTGCCCATTTATTTGCTCACTTGCCGCCTGTTACAAGAATATAGTCCCACCTCCCACCCGCTCCTCCAAGAGAAGGATCCTTGCGTGAAGGGAGGCCAGACCACAGGCTGTTGCACTAGGTCTGGCAGTTGCAGTGGGAGAGGGGAAGGCTATTTAGAGATATGTAAAGTCAGTCAGATTTGTGACCGACTGCCTGTGTGGGGGGAAGGGGGAAGGGAGGACCCTGGATTGCTGGTCCATCTCAGAGCGAGGAATACCACGACACTGAAGGTGTGCATGGCTTAGGACCGCCTGGCAGGGGCCATGCTGAGCGCTGCATTACTGGGGGTAAGTGGTGTTAACATGTGTGGAGAGTCTGGTTGGATGGTCACCATATCCCTTTCTTGACCTTTCCAAGAGTCCAGGCACATCTCCCAGCTCTCTTCCAGTTAGGTACGGGCCAGGTGAAGTTATGGCCAAAGAAATGTAAGTGGCAGCTGAAGGATGTCACTTTAAGGCATGGTATTAAAAGCCATCCCGCAACATCCTGCCCCCTTCTCCTTCCTTATAGGAGGAGTGTGAACCATGGCAGCATCACAGATGGGAGAGGCCTGGGTTCCTGAATGACGGGTAGAGTCGAGAACCACCTTTTCACAACCTTTTTTTTGGTTCATGACACAACAGTTTTGAAGAGAAAAGGACAGTTGTAGAGTATCCCCACGTACAGGATTTATCTCAATGTTTCTTCATGTTGTTATTTAACTTCCTCCTCTATTCCTTGCATTTGCTGCAAATGGAAAGTCAGCTCTGTAGCTTGATTCGATTCAGATTAACATTTTTTAGTAAGAAGTATTTCAAAGTTAATGTACTTTATATTGCATCCTATCAGGAGGGACATCAACGTCTGGGGTCCCACCTACGGTGATGTTATGTTTGAAGACCGAGCTTAGGTGGTGGTTGCAGATTTCTCCATCATAAAGTCACTTGCCCCTTTTGCAATGAGTATGTAAACTATGGGGTAACTTTTGGTCACCATTGTGACATCCTGTTCCTGACCAATATTTCACCTAATATTTTTAGCATCCACTGTGGTTCCTTCCCTCAACTGTTTATATTAAGTATTTTTCTAGCATTTCTTGAGCAACTTACTATGTACTGTGCCCTCTTCCAAGGGTTTTACCTGTATTTTCTTTGATCATCACCATAACCCTATGAGATTATTTGATTTTCTCCGTTTTATAAGTGAGGAAACTGAGGCATAGAGAGGTGTATTCGTTTCCTATTGCTGCTGTAACAGAAGTCCACAAACTCAGTGTCTTAAAACAACACATTTATTATCTTAGCTTTCTGGAGGTCAGAAGTTTGAAATGGGCCTCACTGGACTAAAATCAAGGTGTAAGCAGGGCTGCTTTACTTCTGGAGGATCTAGGGAAACATCTGCTTCCTGACCTTGTCCAGCTTTTAGTGGCTGCCTGCATTGCTTGGCTTATGGTCCCCTGCCAGCTTCAAAGCCAGCAATGGTGGGTCGAGCTCTTCTCCTATAGCATCGCTCCAATCTTGTTTCTGTTGTCACAGCTCTTCTGACTCTGACTGAATCTCACTTCAGTCTCCCTCATCCATTTTTAAGGACCCTTGTGATGACACTGGACCTACCTGCATAACCCAGAACCACCTCCGTGTCTTAAGGCCAGTTGATTAGTCCACCTTAACTCCACCTGCAACCTTAATTCTCCTTTGCTATATAACCTAATATATTCACGGTTTCTGGGCATTAGGACATGGACATCTTTGGAGGGGCCGTTATTCTGGCTACCACAGAAGGTAACTTGCTTTGTTCACACAGCAAGTAAGTAGCAGAGCTGGGATTTAGGCTCTGGAAGTCTGGTTCCAGGGCCCACATTTTTGATCCCTATGTTTTGCTTTTTTAAAAAAATTTTTATTGAAGTACAGTTTATTTGATCCCTATGTTACGCTTCCTATAACAAACGTACTAAGTAACAAGTTTGGAATAGTTTATTATGACTTGCATAATCCCTCCAGCCACCCTTTTCCCCTGATTTCATAAGTTATCATGAAATTCTCTATTACATTTTGGCTTCCCACAGTATGCTATAATGTCTAGATCCAGAGTCTGGGGCTAGCTGGCTTGGGTTCAAATCCCAGCTAGGTTATTTACATGCTATATGATTTGGGCATGTTATTAAAGTTCTCTGTGCCCTAGTTTCCAAAATGTAACATGGGGAATTAATGATATTTATTCTATAAGGATATTGTGAGGATAAAAAGAGTCATTATAGGGCTTTCCTGGTGGCGCAGTGGTTGAGAGCCCACCTGCCGATGCAGGGGACACGGGTTCGTGCCCCGGTCCGGGAGGATCCCACATGCCGCGGAGCGGCTGGGCCCATGAGCCATGGCCGCTGAGCCTGCGCGTCCGCAGCCTGTGCTCCGCAACGGGAGAGGCCACAACAGTGAGAGGCCCCTATACAAAAAAAAAAAAAAAAAAAAAAAAAAGAGTCATTATAATTAAAATGCTTACATAGCAAGTTCTATGTGTTACCTAGACTTGCTTATTACTTCTGCGTATTCCTAAGAGATCACCTGGTCAGATTGGTTTTCTGGCCCTTATCTTTCATCTACAGTCATCAAGTGACACAGGGAACACTCCTGTCACAAAAAACACAAAGCCTCAGTAGAAGACAAGTGGCCCTGTTACAGCGACCACCAGCACTGGTATAAAGAGCCAATGCCAAATTTTCTTTGAGTGAGCACCAGAGAAAATTTGATCTCTTTTCTAAACAAAATCTGTCAACTTTTATAGTTTGGAGAATACTGACATATTTGCAGCATTGGCTTTTATTGTCATTAAAAAAAATTTTATTTTAATACACTTTATTTTTTAGAGCAGTTGTAGACTTGCATACAAATTGAGGAGCTAGTACAGAGAGTTCCCATATATCCAACTTCCTCTACTATTAACATCTTATGTTAATATGGTACATTTGTTCCAATTAATGAACCAATATTGATAAATAATCATTAATCATTAACCATGCTTTATTCAGATTTCCTTAATTTTTACCTAATGTCCTTTTTCTGATCCAAGATCCCATTACACTGAGTTACACTGAGTTATCATGTCTAAGGCTCCTGTTGGCTGTGAGAATTTCTCCTTGGTTTTGATGACCTTGACGATTTTGAGGAGCATGAGTCCCTTTTGTACAATGTTCTTCTGTTGGGATTTGTCTGGTGTTTTTCTCACGGTTAGACTGGAGTTACGGGTTCTTGCGAGGAAGACCACAAAGATAACGTCCAATATTCATTGTATCATATGAAGGTGCACACTATCAACATGTGATCTCTATTGATACTGACCTTGATCACCTGGCTGAGGTCGTGTCTGTCAGGTTTCTCCATTGGAAAGTTACTCTTTTCCCCCTTTCCACACTGTGCTCCTTGGAAGGAAATCACTATGCCCAGCACACACTTAAGGACTGGGGAATTATGCTCTAGCTCCTTGACGAATGACTTAGTTTCCTAGGGTTTTGTAACGAAGTACCACAAATGGGTGACTTTAAGTGACAGAAATTTATTCCCCCACATGTTCTCACTGAAGCCTCTAGGGGAGAATTTGCTCCATGCCTCTGTCCTGGCATCAGGTGCTGCTGGCGACCCTTGGCATTGCCAGGCTGTCTGCCTCCGCTGGCACACAGTCTTCTCCCCCTGTTGTCTTTGTGGCCTTCTCTTCTTCTGATACGAACACCAGTTACATTGGATTGGGGCCCACCCTAATGACGTCATCTTAACTTGATTCCACCCGCAACACTCTTTCCGAAGAAGGTCACAGTCAGAAATTCTGGGGTTTAGGACTTTAAAATATCTTTTTGAGGGACACAGTTCAACCCATAACGCAGGAGAATATCTATATAAATTATCTGGAATTCTTCTGCAAAGGAGATTTATCACGTCTTTCCTATTTATGTATTTTCAATTTTATTTATTTTATTTTTATTTTTAATTGAAGTATAGTTGATTTACAATGTTGTGTTAGTTTTAGGTGCACAGCGAAGTGATTCAGTTATACACATACATATAGCCATTCTTTCTCAGATTCTTTTCCC